CCCCGCCCCGGCCGCCAGCGGGACATGGCGGCGGCCTCGGCCTGAGCGGCGCCGCGAGCGGCTCGGACATGGCGGAGGAGGACACGGAGCTCGAGAGGTGAGCGGCGGCGGCGGGCACYGCCCCGAACCGCCCCGAGCCGGACCGAACCGCCCCGGACCCGGGRTGCGGAGCGCGGCCCGGGCGGCTCCCCCGTCCGCAGGGCCCCTTCGCTGCCCCCCTGTGAGGGAAACAGCCCCAATTTTAACACTTCTTGCCTTAAAACCACCGAATTTGCCCTTGCCGCCGCGGGCTCGCTTCACGTTTCCGTAGCTGCGCGCTCAGTGCGAGGAGGCCTGTTCCTCCCGCCGCTTCCCGGCGGCTTTTCCCGAGGGAAGCCGCTGCTCCCGCTCCTCCCGTGTCCATAAACGAGAGCTCGTTCCCTTGGGCTTGTCCTGTCCCGTCCCGCCCGCCAGACATTCCTGCTCTCATCCTCTGAYGTTAAAAATGAGCCCGGGAGTTGTTCCTGCTGTGTTTCTCTCCACAAGCAGGGGTACTTGCTCTTCCCACTTAATCCTTATCAAACGTCTTTTGCAGTGGGATAGAGAGCACCATTTTCATCCTTATCCAAACAATTTTCCCATCTGTTCTCTTGCATTGGTGTACTCGGTGGCTTTGACGCACTCTGTGTCCAAATTCTTCCGTAATCAGTTTGGTCTTTCGACAGCTATGGGTATTTCTCAAGCTTAAATATTGCACCCGCCCAGGTTACCTACTAAACTTGTTTGGAGCATTACGTGCTTGGAAATGATCATCTCTGAAGGAGATGATGTTCTCTAACAACAGGTACATTGTTGGCAGTCTAGTGCTTCTACTGTGTGGCAGCCCCAGTTATAGTTTCCAACAAGGTTTGTACCTTAGAGGAATTAATTAACAGCTTTTTAATTATGTTTTTCTCATTTCTAGTTAAAAATTTAACTGAATCACTTAATTCTGTATGTATTTTTTTTACCGATGACCAAAAAAAGTAGTTGGGAACTTTTCGGTATCCCCACAGCTCAAGCTGTTGAGAATATCAGCACAGAAATGTGCAGAAAATGGGCTTATCTAAAGCAAGAATCACCRCCTGGCAAGAATTAGAGCGTATGGAATGGTTTTCACAGAGTGACTGAGGTTGGAAGGGACCTCTAGAGATCAGCCAGTCCAACCCCCTGCTCCAGCAGGGACACCCGGAGCACGGGGCACAGGGTGGCAGCCAGGCGGGTTGGGAAGATCTCCAGAGAAGGAGACTCCACAGCCTCCCTGGGCAGCCTGTGCCAGGGCTCTGTCACCCTCACAGGGAAGAAATTCCTCCTCACATAGAGATGGAACTGCCTGGATTTCAACTTGTGTCCACTGCCCCTTGTCCTGTCACTGGCCACCACTGAGAAGACTTTGGCCCCTTCCTCTGAACACTCCATAGGAGGGAGCAAATTTGTGCTTTTTTTAATTCCTGTTCTTAGTTGAGGCTTAGCCTTTATTTTTGATATCCTTTTCCATCAGTGTTTGTAATCAATGTGTTCAGATGGGCCAAATTAACACAGTAAAGTCAATTAGACAAACACCATCAGTGTCCTTCTCCTATTGTAGCAGGCAGTATGGAAGATCTCGATATCTCAATTTTCAGAGGTACTCAAACGCTAAAGGCCACTTCTACTTCTGATCCTGTGCGCTCTCAAAAATAGTGTCCATGATTAGTGTAGAAGCACTTCGAGAAAGTTTCTGGAGAAACTGACTACTTTTCCTGGGCATGTAGGCCCTCTAGGTCCTTTCAGGACCTTAAGTACATTAGAAAGTCAGTTTAAGCATTTGTTGATTTCAAAGATCACTGCAGCTCAATAATCTGAATTTTCACATGGGATCATAATGACATAGATGACCATCAGTTATTAATGCTATGAAACTCTTTATAGGAGATGTGTCGATAAAATGTTCTCTTATGCTGGGAAATGTTGTATGAAATTAACTGAATATTGTCTTGCTGTGCCAAGATCTGTGCATATTTCCAGTACCTGTAATGCCCATGCAAGTTTCTCTGGGATCCTAATGAGACGATGGCATCATTAGATGGAGGTGGCAGTGCTGTCTATAATTGAAAGCATCAAATCTTCTCTATAATGAAATGCTGTAATTATCTGTATTTTTACATATACCTGTTCATTACCAGTTAATTTTTTTTATCTGTATTTTTGGTCATCTTCAGCAAAACAATGAAGCTCCTTTCCTGAATGACTAGTAGAAAACATACATGATTTTACTTGACTTTTGCAGTCTTTAACATTCTCATGTTCTTTGGGCATGTGTTAGTGTTTCTTTAGGAAAGTTTGTCCAAGAAGTATTGCCCACAGCAAGGTTTTGAAGGAAAATTGTGTGTGCTGTTCCCTTACTTATATTGTTGCTGTTGGGGGTTGAATCTAGCAGCTACAGGAGTTCTCTTACTGTAACTATGTTGTAAAAAAGAAGACAGCTGGGCATTCAGTCCCAGGAATCCTATGAAAGTAAAGGTAAAAACCTCCTTCAAGTATCTGTAAAGCCTTTGAGTTGCTTCCTTAGAAAATATAAGCTCATCAGGTAGTCGCACATTACCTCAAAGATTATCTAGAGCTTTTTCCCTTGATCTTTATGTCACTCAGCTGACTGTGAATGCAAATCAGAAGATGCACTGATTAAAAATAATATTCAAAGAAAATTATAAGAATGTTAAGAAAATTAATGTTGGGTAAGGACAGCAGCTTTCCACTCACGAGGCTGAAAAGATGGGTGCTGGGTCAGTCTGATCTATAGTATAATCAATGCAAAATAAGTGTGTCTCCTACTTAATGGCTTATAATTTTTGCAGAAAGGAATAGAATTAGTGTCACTCTATTAATATATTCTGAGGCTCYGCTAAACCTGAACTGCAGCTGCTTAAAGTATATATATTTGCTCAAAGCTCAAATGCTTTGAATAATGACTTAGTTATAATGGCAGATATATTGACTTTTAATCTGCATGCTGTTTGGATTTCTTAAAACCAAATCACAAAGTTTTCTAACTACTGTAAAAACAGTACTTAGTTTTTCTTCCTCATTCCTTCCACTCCCCTGACTCTTCTGTTTCGAAGGCTCAGGATCATTTTTTTTCCAGAAGTTGCCTCTTTCTGCTGTGCTCACTGTCAACTAGCTCAGGTTGCTCAAATTTGCTCAGCAAATTCTAGGTCTGTATAAAAAGTAAAATCTGCCTTAATATCCCAGTGTATGACACTTGAATTTGTAAAATCTTGGAAGGGAATTTGTTTTAAATATGTAGCAACAAACAGCCAGTAGAGATGACAACTTACATGTGCAAATTCTCGGTGTTCATGAAGGGCTGTGAGTACTGGGTATGCAAAATGTCCTAGCAGTTATATGTAGACTTTAAAGAACACCCTAATACCTAAAGCCTGGCTATTACTAAGATCATACTAATAAGCTTGTATAAAGGAGAGACCCTTGTGGTGAAACCTAAAACCAACCTGCCATTAATAGATTGGTGAAAAGTGATACAGTAACTTTCCTTTAGAGCCCACTGCTGATTGGGGCTGGACCCCTGCTGCCAAAGATACAGTGAAAGAAGGTCTGTTTTGGTAAGACCAGCTCTCAGGAACRCGAGGCCGAGGAGACCAGGGAGAAGGTCTAGAGGAAGGAAGAGATTCCCTTGACGGARGAGGATCGGATTAGGGATCACCCGAGCAAACCTGGGCCCATGGACACTGATGGGATGTATCCACAAGCACTGAGGACGGTCAGTACATCAAAGGTCATGGTGATCAGGAGAGATGCCAGTGGACTAGAAGAAAGCCACTCTAGCCTTTTAAAAGGGCAAGGAGGAGGACGCGGAGAGCTCCAGGTCAGTCAGCTTCACCTCCCTCCCTGGGCAGGTGATGGAACAACTCATCTTGGACGCTATTTCCAAGCATATCAAAGACAAGGTGACGAAGAGGGGTCACCAAGGTTTCCCAAAGGGGAAATCATGCCTAGCCAACCTGATAGCCATCTGTGATGGAATGAGTAGCTGGGTAGAGATGAGGGGAGAGCAGTCAGTGTCATCTGGCCTGACTTCAGCAAAGGCTTTTGACACTGTCTCCTGTAACATTCTTATGGGCAAGCTCAGAAAGTGTGGGCTAGATGAGTGGATGGGCAAGCGGCCCTCCTGCCCCTAGCGAGCAGTAACCCCATGCACCACGRTAGGCTGGGGTTGACTGAGGGTGTAAAGAGATTGTGGCCAGGCTCTTGGCAGTGATGCCCAGAGACAGGGCCAGAGGCAATGGGCACAAACCAAAACACAGGAATTTCCATCTGAACATAAGGAAGATCTTTTTTTCCCCTGTAAAGGAGACAGGAACAGGTTGCCCAGAGAGGTTGTGGAGTCTCCATCCTTGGAGATGTTCAAAAGCCACCTGGAGAGAGTCCTAGGCAGTGTGCCCTAGGTGACCTTGCAGTGGTTTTCTAACTCAAATGTTGTGGGCTGCAAATATTTATAAACTGATGTAGGTCCATGGTATGTGACTGTCAGTATAAAATTGTATGGTCACATGGTATGTGACTGTCAATATAAGCCTGTGTTTGTGCAAAGCTGAAAAGTTACTGTACCTGGGTGCATGTTATAATGGGACTCATTTAGCATCAATGTGTTTTCCAATACCAAGGAAAAGCAAGAAGTGCCCAAAGGCTTTGCAGACAGAGGGAAAACACGGTCACCAGCCAGTCCTAAGGAAAGGAAGCACCGCTGATCGCTAACGTTAAGGGAGCTGGTAAACACTTGTGTTAAAACCCTAACGATCTGAAGAAGGCTGGGTCTAGATTAATGGATAAAAGCTGCTATGACACTGCTTGAAGCCTTCTCGTTAGCTGCTGTAAGAATTTCTGAGCTATTTATCTTCTCATTATCTTACTCACGAGCCATGTATGTGTTTAAAGATCCAGTTCCTTGTGTTTTGCTTGCAGATTTCAGTAACTTAAATGGGAATAAACCACTRTGTTTTGAGCCCAGGATGGCAGTTCCATGTGAAGCTCTAACAAGTTAAATCAAGTTAAATGCTAGATAGCGACTCGTGACTTTTCTAGTCTTAAACTTGGATTGACACCAGAATTAGTACTCCAGCTCTGCTCTTTTTTTTTTTTTTTTYCTTTCTTTTTTTTTCCCCTCTCTTTTTCTAATCTGTTCCTGCAAAGTTCTGGCAGGCTGATAATCCCACGGCAACGCAACGGGACCTGACTTCCTTCCAGCTTGAATTGAAATCTTTTGGCTGTTAACTTCTTTGCACAGCCTACAAACACACTGTGCAGTCAAGACAACCACCTTGCAGAGTAGTCTGCACCCCAGTTTTCGTTGTGCAGCATCACAGCTAGGAGAGCTAACCAACTTTTTATTAGCTCCTCCCTTCAGTTATTTAAGCCTGCCTGTTGCCCGTGTCACTGTGCTTAAGGCTTTGCTCCATATGCTGTGTCTTACAAACGGGAGCTCAGCTTTTCTGTCTTGTGGTTCCCACTGGTTGACCTGTATAGTTGCTTATAGTCTACCAAGCAAATTGTTTGCTTACTCATTCAGCTGACTGGTTTTCCCACTAGCTTCAAGCATGTGCTAAAGAACAGTTACTTAAGTTTCACCAGTGCCTGAAATTAATTAGTGAAAAGAACTTGAAGACAGTGCAGGAATTTTGCATAATTTACCTTTGCAGATGGCTCTTTGTGTGAGCATAGTCATTTAATTTGTGTGAGCATAGTCATTTAATTGCTCTAGTGTTGCCAACCCGTTTCTTCTAAAAGGTCACACAGTCATTCTGGGTGACAGTGGATCACAGTCCTGTAGGTGACTTATTTTCTTCCACTTTACATAAAGATTTTAACAGCGGATAGTTGCCATAATAGAAATTATATGGTCATCTATATTCTTGCTATTTTTTTAATATTGGGTTCAGAAGAGAAAAGAACCTAAGTGGGGTGATAGCAGGGAAGAGCAGTCCCAAGGTGAAGTGACAGAAATTTTACTTTTCAGTGTTTTGTACCCATTTTGTATGCGTTACTCCTACTCTGCAATTGAAATTAGTATTGTAATTGTTCATTTGCAACATCTTTAATTGCTTTTAATAATTTTTTTTATAATCTTGATATATATAAATAATCTTGATATATCTTGATATATCTTTTATAATCTTGATATATATAAATATGAACTAAGTTAGTATGAAAGTTGAGTTGCTTTGGTAGCCTCTTTCTTCTCCACTATGAACTAAGCAATAAACTTCCCACTTGGTTTATGTAACTGCATAGAGGGGCAAGTCCTCATTTTCCATAAGCAGTAACTTTTTTCCTCCCTTTATTTGTAGGAAAGCTGTAGAAGAGTTACTTAAAGAGGCRAAACGTGGCCGGACTCGAGCTGAAACAATGGGAGCTATGGGATGGTAAGTCAGCAAGGAAATGAGCACGAAATTTGCTGTATTTCCTAAATATGAGTGCTAAGAGGAACTGAATGCTAAGATCTATGCATTTGTTCTGGTAAAAATAAGATCTATGTATTTGTTCTGGTAAAAATATGATTCAAGGTAGGTAAGAAGTTGAAGAAAATTCTGCCCAGTTAGAATTGCATGAATAAATATATTGAAAGCAAAACAATTGGAGAACTGGGAGTAATTTTTATAATAGTAATTTTTTATAGTAGACAGAATTGCAAACTTTAGACTGCAGCCTTACAGAACATCAGTATTAGGTAGCCTTGATGTACATGTACTTGCATGGTGGCTACCTATGAGTTGGRTTGGATTCAGTTTAGATTTTTAAAAATTAATAGCATAACTCAGGAACAAATCTGCTAAAACAATATAGTAATAATAAATTTCTTTTAGCAGTGCATTCATGTATAAATTGCAGCCAAGAAGAATTTAAAATAAAATCCAGTTTTGGAAAAAGGTATTTTTCAAGACTTCAAAAACAAAAAACAAACAAACAAAAAAAMCCCTCTATAATCCAGATGCTAATCTGTTTAGTGAGTGGGAAAATAATAATAATGAATAATAATATGAATAATAATAAATGAGTAATAGTAATGAGTTTTTGTGTGAAATACAATGTTAGCTTGAATGCAGTATTTCAGTTTTTACAGCTAGGCTGTGGTGCAGTGTAATGCATTTTATTGTAGTTAGAGACATAACTATGGGCTGAGAGGATTCATGTGCCTTGAACTAATKCAGATGACTTCGGTCAGCTCTGGTATATAGGGGTATTCACACAAGCACAGTTGACTTTGTTAAACCCAGCTGTAGGCAAGGTCTGGCCCCCTCCACTAACGCTTTTAAAAGATAAGCCTGTATTATCAGTGAAGCTCTCAACTGATTCTCAGCTATGTTTGTTTTGAAGTAASTCCAGGAGATTAAAAGTGTCTTGCTCCAAGAGGTTGATCTTTTATGTTTTCTCATAATGCTTTATATTTTTGTGTATTTTAGCCAGTGCTTCTGCTAAGCATGTGGTTTATACCATATGTGCTAAAATAGCTGAATTGGTTTAATCACCCAGTGCTGACATAGCACAGTTTTATTCTGTGAGCCCTCTCAAATGGTGTGGAAATTAATACAGATCAATTAGCACCGTGAGGGGCAGTATGCATCCATACACTGTGAGTTTACGGGTTAATTCCAGGTGTGGAGCCTGAAGATCTACATCAGGAGATAACCAAGCAGCCCAGAATCCTGTGGGATATTGCGGTTGGACTTGTGCAGTCTGGAATCCTACCCATGTTTGCAGTAGTCTACACAAGCTTCTGCTCCCAGCTCCTCCTTATTCCTTGTCTGATCCGTAGGGATCACACCGAAGTGACTGTGATTACATGGGGTTTGGTAACACCTGGTGCTCAAGACCTGCCAGAAGAGAAGGCAGCTCTGGATGACATGTTTTGAGAACAGCTTTGGATTCAGTCATATTCATATGGCAACTAGTTAAGCCTGAGGTTATTTTAAAGGCGTAGGAGAGAGGAGGATTGTTTAGAAGGCTTCAAGCTGAGGAAGACATGGAGACATGGGCATGAAGATGCTTCCTTACTTCTCAGTTCAGGATTAATCTTGCTTTCAAATGTGGAGAAATTTGAGAAGAGCTGAAGAGAGTCAAATGAAAGATCCATCGCTGCAGCGCTCTGTCTTTATCTGTTAAATGGCCAATGCTTAAGAGATGGAGTAAGAATAGCAATACTTTCCCATTTACTGTAAATGGTAATACTTGACTGTTTACTGAGATAATACTTCTTCAGGACAATAGTCGAGCTTCTGGCAGTCTGCAACTCAGGATATTCTGCAGCAGGGATTGCATTTGATGCCTTTACAGGGATTTTTCCTTCTCTAAGTTTGTCCATAGAGAGATTAATGGGTTTAATCCCATCTGTCACAACTGTGCTGCTACAGAGCCTGGCATAGGCTGGGATACAGCTGGTGTGTATGGCCACAGGGAGGGTATAAAAGCCACCAAGGCAGCTTCCCAGGACATTTTTGGTGTCTCGTGCTGCAATCACAGAGGAAGCTGCCACTGCTCTCAACCATTTAAATAAATTTATTAAATATTTTTGATGCCTTATTGTGATGTTTTGATCTCTCAGAATGGCCCAGCAGTTAGGTATTGCATATATTAGATAGCCAATAAAGTATTTGGAAGGAAAAGAAAACTTATTCTGCTGCATTGAGTACCAGGCTGCAGTAACATCATGTCAGATGTAAGCAGTGTTACAGTAAATTGTGAAGGGTTTCAGATGTTTAATTCAGGGCTGACCTGTAGTCTTGCAACCGCTGAAAGGAAGGTAGTGGCTGTTTTGAACTTTGTGGATACCAAATGAAACATGCAGAGAAGATCGTTTGCTAAAATGTGTACTAGGAGGTGAAGTCCAGGAAAACATGATCAGGCAGAAGCAAACAGGCAAGGACATCTCCAGTGTGACCAAAGCAGCCTCAACAGGTAAAGCACAAAGCCTGCCTGCCCTGCCAAACTCAAAATACTCACAGGAGTGTTTCATGAGGACTCTTTAGCAAGAAAATACCTGTTCTGCCATCTCTTTTTAGGTAAGAAGAAACAGTAGCTACTACTGCTGTGATTATTCTAGTTTATGTTGCCCTCCAACAGCTGTTAGACTTGGGAAATTCACTTTTGGAGTCAACGGACACGAATTAGTTGAAGACAGGTGAGGTGGCAGTGTCATTCGCAGGGAGCTCTCTTTGCACGTCAAGCCTCAGCCTTGAAATATGGGATGCTGTTGCTAGTATCTCTTCCAGCTTGGAAATACTTTGCCAGCGTTACCTTGTCTTACAAGCTTTCTGCGGTTGGCCTGAGTAGGTGTTGCAAGAGACAGGGATCACAAAGCAGTAGAAGAAAGGCTTGATGGAGCAGGGAGGTTGATGGTGATATCCAGCAAGAGCTTATGCAAGAAGGGAGATTGTCTGGGTGTCTCTGGACACAGAGCACTTCTCAACATTGCCAATAGGCCACGGAGCTCTTGGCTACTTAAGAGTCCTGGCTCACTGATCTCCATGCTTTCAGGACCTCTTAGATTGGTGGTGCCTAGATTGGTGGTGCCTAGGTCCATGACAATTCATCCAAGAAATAGTGAATATTGTTATTTGCACATCTCACATTACTGGTTCTTGTGTGTTGACTTTTTTCTCAGATGTTCCCAAGATCCTTGTTCTCAGCACTAAAGTATTTCTAGTTCCTGGAGTCATCCGTAATTATCCACTGTATGACCACAGTGTTTCTYGTCTGGGCTCCCCTACCTCCTTTTGATCCATGTGGTGTTGTAGATCCTGCCGCTGTGGTATCTGATTCAAGGTTTCATGATGATGTGATTCACAGAGTTTAATCATGAGTAAGGAAAGAGGAAGGAAAGATCTTCTTTGAAGTCATCTTCATCCCTGAAAAATTAAGCAAAAGAGAACAGATTCTGTCTGTAGCTTAAGTTTGATCTACACTACTGTGATTATGGAGTTTGAGATAAGAGGTCAGAGCAGCTGTTCAGAATTTGCCACTTGAAGGGCCAGTTGGATCCAAGATGAGAAGCTGCAGGTGTTTGATACTGTTATATAAATTTATCCTCGATTGATGGGAGAGCATTGAACCCAGATGGAATCAAGATGTAGGATGTCTGAGGACTTGCACTGTGTGCCCTTGGGTAAAATGGAGCTACACGCTCAGGTTTCATGTTGTGGCTTTGTCACTCCTATGGGTGGAATTCATAGGTTTCCTTGTAGCCGTGCAGCTGTGTCCATTTTAGGGGGCTGTTCTGCATCAGTTAAGAAAGGTGGTTAAAGTACCCCAGAAGCTAGTGGGTAGACAAGTTCTAAAGGCTTTTTATTTTTTTCTTTCACCATATAAGTTTGGTCTTTGAAGATCCTCCTATCAAATAAGCTAAAGCTCAGCTTAGTCCTTCATGTTTCCTCTGAAAGCTCGCCTATAATAAAATATGGGAAAGAGGATATTTTGGGATGGTTTGTTCAACTGTGCATTGTAGCAGGAAAAAGATGATGAGCATTAGAAGCATTATATTATTTTTAATCCTATTTTATAAAGCACTCCTAAAATTGCTTTCTTGCATATGGAGAATGTTCAATACCAAATCTGCTCATCAGAAGTATTTCAGAATACTAAATACAGGCAAAAAAGCTTTCACTTTATTGCATCTTGTCAGTGACTGAATGGTTTGTGCAGAGTCATGCAGCAWCCCCAGCATGTGATTCTGCTAAAGCTTTTCACTCAAACGCAAAGAGGAGGGGGAGCAGGGCATAGACAGGGCTTGTAAAGTAGATAAATTAAAAACTTCTGATCAGAGCACAGATGCTAGCAAAGCCCTGGCAGCCATATGTACCTGCAGGGTCCTTCCAGAAATCCTCTTTTGTGAGATCCCTTATGAAAGACCAGTAACCAGGAATATCTGCTGTGCCAAAACAAGCTCTGGCCAAAAAAAGAAAAAATCCAGCTGCTGTTTGGTTGTGTGGATGGTTTATTGTTTGTTTTATCTTTGGCTGCTCTTATTTGCTGCAAAATAGCTTTTTTATGGCATTTTGGGAGTGTCAGAAATGTAAGTTCATGCATAATAAGCCCTGCTATTCCCTGGAAACAGCTGATCCGCTGTGTGTGCCAGGGCTGGGGGCCAGGGGTGCKTGCTGCCTACAGCTGCCATGACCGGGGCTCAGCTCCTGCTCTCCAGCACCTCAGTCTGCCTCTGTCTGCTCTGCTAATAAGAAATTCATTCAGTGCTGAGCTGCAGTGCACTTGGTGCCGGGTGCTGGCTGGAAAGCAGGATGGTTCGTTGGCACAGAATGTGGCTTGAAACGTCAAAAATGGGATTAAGCCTTGATTTATGCTTGCAAGAATGGATATATCTTTTCCTGTTGATAAGGCAATATTGTCACTTCTTTGGGCAGAGGTGACCTGCTTTAGGGGTGTCTCATGTTTTATGTGTAAAAGSTTATCAGAACATGCAAATAAAAATACCTGGTGTGCCCTTCCTTGGAAGCACTGCTGCAAAGCTGGAGGCAGTTTTGTAGCACACACKGCTTTAGAATTGCAGGCTCCTGTGTAGATCTTTGGTCATCTCTGCAGGCTCTGCTTCAAGCACACTTGAGTTTGATGCTTTGCCGTTCTTGCAGTATTTTTAACAGTTTTTTTGCCACTAGAAATGCTGGCAAAGGTAGCAGGGAGTTAATGCAGTTTCCATCTTATCTTCAGTTACATGCACACCGTGTTCTTACACTGTAGACTTGTGCGTGTGCATTGTAACACGTGTGTTAGCCCTTCAGGATTCTGTCACATAGAATTGGTGGCTAACTCCAAAACAGGTTGGCTTGTGGAAACCTGTCCAGAAATAGGTAGTGGAGAGAGAACGATGAGGTAGTTCATTGTGTCTTTCTGAAATGGCTTGTATAATTCTTAAGCTGTATTTTGATGTGTAGTAGACACACAAAGTCCAACTGTAAGTGACCTTGCCATGTATTCCCCTGAATATCTACTGAGCAGGACTCTAGAGGTCCCTTCCAACCTCAACCAGTCTGTGATTCTGTGAGAATCTGTGCATTTTCTCGTAATAAATCCTCAAAGAAATTATTGGCAGCAGTTATTAACAGTGACAGCTGAAATAAACTCCATAGCTACTTGAAAGTCACAAAGTATGGTAAGTAACCAGGCATGAGCTTAATTCCAATTTTCCTGTGCAATCTGGATAATCAGAGATACCAAAGGTTTTTAAATCATCAGTGCGTAACTTCTAAATTTATACAAAATTTTGTGGTAGAACATGTAATTCTAATATTGCACTGTTAGCATTCAACAACTCTGTAGCTGGTAAGGGGCACTGGGATCTTCACCATTTCTGCTTTTTGAGAGTAATCCCTTAGTTCTTCCCTGGGATGCAAGCTCTAAAAATATCTGTGAAAACAACCCCCTTCCTGCAGCCTTCAGAGTGATTCCTTCTTATTGAAGGAAAGATGGATTTGTTCACTTCATTCTTTAAGAGGTGACAAAGAGGGAGTAAAGATCATGCAGTTGTTACCAACGGGATAAATGAAGTATAAAATACTCATTTACCAAAAGCAACTGAGAAATTATTTGGGGAAAAAAAGTATTAACCCAACAGAAAAGAAGTTGGAAACGATGGATGAGAAGCTGAATGAGTAAAAGGGCTGGAGAATTATTCTATTTATTTAAGAAAATGAAACTGAATATTTTCCTTGCTAGACAGTTGCCAGATGTAAGCTAAGTTTGATAAGCCTTGTGCATCTGTTTTATTGCTGCAGCTACCTAGGTTCTTTGTGTGGGAGTATCTTTTATTTTCTAAATATCTCAGCTCATGAAATCATGTTGACTCTAGTAGATCATGATCTTGCATACCATTCCTAGTCGACTTAAATTGTATTATTAAATGTCTGATTCCTAAATAACTTAATTAAGCATTGACAAACTTAAAATTTGTTTGTCATTCCACAGGGGTACATTAAACATTAACCTTGTCTTGTGTGCTTCYCCCTGCACACAAGGGGAAAAAATGTGTATTTTCAGTCTATTAAAATTAATTTTTTATCATCTTGAGGAAAGTAATAGGAAAATAGGGACAAACTTGAACATATCTTTCTGTACTGAGAGTTTACACTAGGTGGCATGCAAGGAAAGCCAGAAGCACAAATCTGCCTTAAAATTGCTCAAGTTGAACTTTCAGACTTATTCCAGATGCCTTTGATATGTCTTCTGATTACTTTAAATGTCTTTACAGGTTGAAATGTCCTCTTGCTGGTACAAATAAAAGATTTCTTGTTAATACCATCAAAAACACATTGCCTGCCCAGAAAGAGCAAGAGCAAGACCGGGAGCCTGAGGAAGTCAGCAAGGAGCCTGAGCCAAACAAAAGCAGGAAGGAGGAAAAACCAAAGAAGCGCCGAATCCATCCCTACACCCCCAGCTTTCAGGCCAGGAGGAGAGTCAGCTACTCTCCTCCCAGGCATCGGAACAGGAGCCAGCACACAAAGGATAAGTATGAAAAACGAGCAAGCAAGCGATGAGGAAAAGGAGTGCGTGCCACCACAAGCCCAGAATGGCATTAACTGTTGGACTGCAGGGATGTTTCAGGTTTTCAGCCAGAGATGACCCTCAAAATCGATTTTTGAGCAGAGAGTTGGTTTTGTGAGACGTAGCCTTGAGGYAGATTTATAAGACTTGTTGTCGGGACCTTTAAGAGAAAAGTAAAGGTGCAGCATAAATCTCTCAGTTGTTTTAGCACAGACACTCCCTTCATCCCCCTCCGTCTGGGTAAGCATTGGGTCTTGGTAATGGAGCTTAGAATATGTTACACTGATACAGTTTCTTTAGTCACTTCATCCTTTGAGAAATAAGTTTAAATTAAGCAGAAGTCTATTTATTGTGAAACCTTGCCAGAACTTCTTTGCTGCKAAATCAATGAAGAAGTTTTGCTTGTTTGGGTGAGTTTAGTTTGCCAGAAATTGAAAGAAGGGAGAATTGGTCCATACTTGGTCACACACGTATATTTTAGGTAGCATATAAGAATTTGGTTTCTCTAAACAGTATAAAAAGTACAGTTTTAAAGTTGACAATACTGACTTTACCTCCCTGGAGAAATCCCCAGGAAATTCTGCTTGTTATTGTATTAATCACAAACCTGTCATAGATTATAACAATAAACATTACCCCTAAAAAGCCATAACTGCAATAATTGTCTTTGTTTAGACTTCCCTCTGTAAGGAARTAGTTTGAAGAGTTCATTGTCATGGTGCTTTCAGAACAAACCTTGGAGACACAACGGTCATGTCTGTCCCCAGCTATGACGTTTCTAAGTAAATGTGTAATAGTAGAAATGCAGAGATTTAAAAACAGTCAAATGCTCTCCCTTCAAGCCCTTGTGACAGTATCGTAGTGGTGCAGTTCTTAAGTTTGAGACTGCAAACAGCTAGAATTACGATCAGCACATTCTGTGTCTTTTTGTGTTGCAGACCATTTTACATGGAAGTCACTGTATTTCCCTATCCTCAGAACTAATTGTTTTAAACGTAGGATTCAGTTTTAGAGTTTAAGTGTGCTGACAATAAAAGCTGATGTGTTAAAGTGCTTTGTGGCATTTATACTTTTAATGGGTTTCTTACTAAGCTGCAATGGGTGTATGTCATCCAGCAGAAAGGAGCAGTCAGTGTTTCGAGGTCCTTCCGTGCTGTGTCAGAGCAGAGAGTGCCATCTATAGGTTAATCTATATCTTGTGCTGTTATACATGTCTTGCTTGGAAAGATCATGTTAACCAGGTGAAGGAGAGACCCAAGTGGAGATCTGCTGGGACCGAATTTTGATCTAGTAGCAAGAATTACTTTTCTCAACAGTGGAAAGGCAGTTAAACTGGTGCAGAGGCCCCCAGTGAATCTTAGGGTCGTTGTATCCATCAAATCTCCATGAAGATATGTAGCTTGTTTCTCTATTTATCTGCAGGGACCGCAACACTATAGTAGAAGTTATCCCTGCCTTTCAAAAATCTCTAAGTGGGAACAAAAGGAAAAGTAGTATCTGGAAAACGTAGGATTAGTGAGRTTTTGAGTAAAAACATCCAGGTGTCTCTCTTTGAGTTAAATAATCAGACTTCGTTTCCAGTCTTTATTTTGCTGGACACTGCTCGTTTCCCCCTTGATACTTCCCATGGAAGGACATCATTTATACTGGTATGTGTGCCAGCCTCTGCTGCAGTGGCACTGCTGGACAGACATGGATTTGCAGCAGAGAAATCCTCTCAAACTTGCTTAGGATGAGGACTGGAGATGGTTGTAGGCTTTTCTGAGGGCTTTCCACACTCCCACCTTCTGACACACCTTAAGGATAGATGCTGCTCCTCATCTTTTATTAATTTAAGGCAGATATGGGGGCATGGAAAAATGGCTAGACTATGCTTTCAAAATTAGTCTGGTTCTCTGATGGACAGTGCCTCCATATTAAAGCTGGAGAACTTGGAATGACCAAAAACGTGTAACTGAAGAAAATTGTCTTCAGCAGCAGTGGTAGGTTCAGATATAGTGGTTATTTATTTATTTGTTTATTTTCTGAATTGGAAAACATACCTATATTATATTCTGTTGGTTCATATCTCACATTTTATTAGGACATTTAATGAGAACTTGTTCTTCAAGTTCTTCAACTTGTTCTTCTTGTGTTCTTCAATAGATATTCTTAAATCAAGGCAAATCTTTACCTGTTTGTGTGAATGTGCCTTACTGTAGATCCCCTTCTAATCTAACTTCTGGGTTAGGATTTCTGGATTAGGCAGTCTGAGATCCAAGAAAAGTGCATGATAAAAAAATAAACTTTGTTACTATCTTCTTAATTATATAAAAAAAATGCTGCATGAAGCCAGATTAGTATTATAAACTCCTCTATTGCACAACAGCAGCATCACAATTATACCTCAAAGATAAGATTTAATCTCTGAAACTTGAATTTGAACAGGTCTTTCAAAGCACAGTATTATCTTCTGTAACTCTAAATTCCTTGATAGTCATAGAAATGCTCAGTCTTTTAAAAATAAATTATGTATTTCTGGTCTTAATGCTGTAGCAGTGAATTTCAGCCTAGTTACTTGGATGGGAGGGGAATGCACCTTGGGTTTATATTACTAGAGTAATACTTCAAAGGTGTTTCTTGGTCAGCTGTGACATGTTAAAGTTGTGTTTTAAGTTGGTATTGCTCTTGTCATAGCTGCAATAACATTATTATTATTATTATTATTATTATTATTATTATTATTATTATTATTATTATTATTATTATGCTGGGCAGAATCCTACCGAGTGTCTGTTTTCATCAAGCCAATATTGAATGTAGATCAGAAAACAATGTAAAAAAAGAAGAGAAACACTTTAGATTTTACAGAATATTTTTATTAGTTTTGACTACATATTTTGACTACTATTTTGACTACATATTGTTCTAGAAAGGATTTAAAATCCAAGTCAGGGATGTAATAATAAGCAATTCTTCTTACATTCATTGTACAGCCTCTTCTCTTTTGTAAATCCAATTTGAGTTATTTACAATGAATCATGAAAGCCATGAACTTCCAAGAAAAGACTAACAGATTTGATGTATAACAAGACTTAAAGGGAAAAAAMCACTCTGTTTTTCAGACTGATTCAAATTTATTTCACAGAAGTTTTTTGAGGTGCAGTTATAATAGTGTTCCTTTAGTGATTATGAAATATCTACTGAAAACTGCTCAACAAAAGAGATGTAAATGTTTTTAGATCAATGGAATAATGTAGCAGGAGGGGGTGGCTTTTTCTGCACAAACAGAACTGTTTTTTGTGTTTTGTCTGCAAGTTGATCACTAAGAAGCATGTTTCTTCCTCTGTCCTATCAGAGCTCTCATTAATAAATATGTGTTTTCATTTAATTAAACTGGAACAACACAAAAGCAGACTTGCTTTGAATAAGTAGCAAGAAAACATTTGGATGGCATTTATAGGATTTTATTCATTTTATCAGTAGAGTAACTGATCCACCAAATCTTTATTCATGTGAGTGATCTTTGCACTTGCAAATAATCCTGTTGTAGCTCACAACCTATGAATGAAACTATCTTTTCTGCATTGATATGCATAGCCTTTCTTTTATTTACTATTGACTATTTCCAGTGACAGTCAGAGGGAATAGCTCTAATCAAAAGAAAAAAGCTAAAAATAAGAATATATATTAGATAAAATAGAAGAGAGGGGGGGAAAAATCAATTACTTTCATGCTGGAGTATTTACTGGCCTCTGTCTTTTAAAGAACACTACTGATGTATTCTCCCTTGTATTTTTTCATATATCATATGAGATATATAGAAATATATATATATTCATGTATCAATTCAGTATTGCTTAGAATTTGTGTTTATCAAAGACTTAGTTAATAACTCTGAGGTGCTACCTCTGTACCTTATAATCCTGGAAGGCTGCATCTAGATGGAATGTCAAAAACTTAACACTTTCCCTATGCACAACCAAACTCGGCCTTTCTTTAGTGAAAGAAAGCATGAAGAATATGCTATTCTTGGCAGAAAATTGCTGCTCGTGCAATATTTGCCCCTGCCCATATGGTAAGTCTTGCATTATGGCTGGAACGCCAAGCCAAATACTTTCCCTAAGGAACAGAGGAAGTTTTTTGTCCCTCCCTTGAGAGCATCCTCTATGTTTCGTACTAAGATAGGCGCAGAACTAATGTGTAGAACTAACTGCAAAGCCATGGTGTGGGAAGTGGCACGATGTGGAAAGGTGAATACAGTCCCTTGTAACATTGGCATAAACCTCTGGCAATACCAGTTCAGTTCCCTCATCTACAAGTTGTCTGATCCGAGACACTTTTCACTGTTTGTTTCTCTGGATTTGTAGGAATAGGTTCTGCAGTGTCATCAGCTGCATTTCTCACCCATCTTCGCACCTCTACAGCYGGACATGAACTGTGTCACAAAGTGAACTTAATAGCATTTTAATAGGATGTATGAGAAAAGACTATCCAGACTACAGCAGAAGACTGGTGTGACTGAGGATTTAACCCCATTGTAAGTCTGCAAGTGCAAGCTCAGAGGGCCCACAGAGTTGCTAGAGAGCAGGAGGGTGACCGTGCTCTGCTCCTTAGCACTCACATGCCAGCTCAGCTTTGTCTGGGAAGATCCCTGGATTTTGCACCAAGGTCACGTTTTGTTGGATTTCAGGTGGGGAAATGGCTTTTCCTTGGTTTCTGGTCAGTGTCCATCAGCCTCACATCTCCGAACTATAGATGCCTTTGAGGTGAAGATCTGCTTTTCTGTGGACTTTCCGTCACTGCAGGTAAACTTTGTACATAAGACTGTAATGTTTGCAAGGCTAAAGGCACAAGCCCTCGAGCTTTTTGGAGCTGAGTCTGGTGCTTTTCACCAATATATTTTAATTAGAATAATGAAAGCTAAAATATACATCAGTTATTCAGTCTTTGATGCTTTTAAGTTATATATTTAGCTGGTTTTGGTAAAGTTCATCTTCTGGAACCCCTTCCTTCCTGCAAGGGTTTGTGCATATGTAGTCCCAGCTCAAGAAGGTCATCCCACAGCAAGACTGCAGTTTGTGGAGAGCTACGTTTTGTCATGTAGCATTTGAATGAGTATGAAAGGAGCAACACAGCGGGTTTGGCCTATTTGCTTGGGCAGTTGGCTGCCGGGGTAGTCTTGGGGTGGTCTCACTCCCTCCTCCTCCTGGTCAGGAGGGCACCCATGCACCTCAAGACATGCATGGCCCAGGTGCTGCTCAGTGGAGCTCCCAGCCAAGCCCTCGGTGCTTTCTTGGGACACACAGGACAGAGCAAAGAGCTGCAGAAAGAACTGCAGCAGGCAAACAGTGAAAATCTGTTTGGGGCAACATGGCTTAGCGTTGTGCTCAATGTCCTGCATCTCCTTGATTCTCCAGCTTGATTCTCCAGCTTGATTCTCCAGCTTGATTCTCCAGCTTTTTCTGAAGAGGAACTGCCTGTGTTTGTCAAAGGGATTCCCAAAGGGATAATATTTGCCCAACTGTACTCCTTCAGAACACCTCAGGGAGAGAAAAACCCCAGCAGATAGTTAATTCACAGGGAGCAGCAATAAAGGACAGTTCATGGTAAGGAGCTGTTGTTCAAGTGCAGCAGTAAGAATGCTAAGAGAGGGATATAAGATGTGAGGAAAAACTGGGCTCAGTAGTAGCTGTTGCTTTGCCATAATTCTGAATATTATATTCAAATTCAGTTTTTTTCCTCTACCAATTTAATAGGAATGTAGTAATTAAAGAGCCAAATGGAAGACAAGCASAACAGTTGGAATGGTCAATCTACATGCCTAAAATGAAACTACTTTGTACATGGTAGATCCCTCTGCTCTTAAATCTTCCCCTCTTCATTTGATTCTGAATGACCTAATTCCACCCCTACCAGCCTCACTGCAAGAAAAGAGGCACTGGTGATCAAGGAATCACAAATTCAGGCAGGCAGAAACCAGGGGTAGACATCCATCCACTTCACTGTGCTTCCCACCTCATTGCTGAGTTCTTGTTTCTGTATTGGATTGCAACAGCTTGAGGGTGAATGATGGTAGAAAACTTTGTTGAAGTCCTGGGAACTTTAATCATACCTCAGCAGAGATGTTCAAGGCAGATACTCCTCTCACCAGAGGGAGAGGAACTGCAGATGTGCCCTCCATGCAAGTCTGGTCACTCAGAGCTTGCATTTTCCAGCAAATCATCAGGCTTGTACTTGAGGTGGTTGGTTAGAGAGATGTTGAAAGGTTTTTGTAGTGTTCTGCAGGTTTGTGCAAGGAAGCTGAGCCCTTCGCTGGCCTGACTAGAAACTATTTGCTTGGGTTAATGGGATTAAAGCAGCTCAGGCTTGGTTTACACCAAAGTGCTGTTCTAACGCACCCGCAGGTCTGCCCAGAGCTTGTGCAGAGCTCGCTCTAGCCTTCCTGCCAAAGGCCCTGTAGACCTCCATAAAATGTGCTGAGACGTGCAATTCTTGAAATGTCTGCCTGGAGAAAGGCCTGAGCCTCAGGACCCCATGGAGCAAACCTGTCCTAAAGGCAGCTCTGGACCTCAGCAGATCCTGTCTGGATTTGGATCTGTGTGGGAATCTTCTTCCAACAAGCAAAGGACCAGAGAGGCGCAACCCAACCTATCCAAAGCAAGCTTTGCCTCCTGGACACTACCTAGGAGCCCCCAGACTGAGAAACGAGGTAAATTAAGAATAAAAGTTGACAGGAACGAATCTTTCCTAAACTATTTCTCTTTGCCCGCTGCAAGCAACTTCTCTGACACCTCCACTCCTGGGACCAACAAGACAGACGGCCCTCTCATTACTGGAGATTCACCTCCAGCCGCGGCTGCCGGTTCGCCCTCCTTTTACACTTTCAGCTCTTTAGTATTTTTGTGTCCCTTTCAGACGAAGGCTCCAGCCTGGGAAAAATAAACCTGCTAGCCTGGCGAAAGCCAAACAGCACCCGGCCCAATTAATAGCCTCCCCACTGTTCCTTTGCGCGGGCCGCCCTTCGCGCCGCCTTTGTCTCGCTTCCTGTTTGCTTCCTCCCCRCCGCCGCCGCCKCCTCCTCCTCCTCCTCGGCCGCGCAGCCGGGCAGAACGGGGCCGGCAGGTAAAGCGAGGAGCAACCGCGGCTCTCCTGCTTTCACACATGGCGGCTTCAGCTCTCAAAATGGAGCCATGGCATGTGTTAGGCCCGTCTGCTCCACGGCGGGATGTCGCTGCTGGCTCACCATTTTGGAGGATACCTAAGGGCTCCCCATCGCCCTGCACCAAGTGGGGCCCCCCAAGAGCTCCTCAGAGTGAGGAGGGTGAAGCCGAAGGTGGCCATTCCCTGCCTCGGGCAGCGCTGGCTTGTCCTGCTGGCTCCCAGTCTGTCCTGGCTCATGGTGACCCATGTGTGCWGCCCCACTGCCCGGGCCATGGGGATTTATGCCCAGGCAGCTCCACATGTACAT